TGTGTGTGTGTGTGTGTGTGTGTGTGTGTGTGTGTGTCTATGTGGGATAGAGAGAGAGAGAGAGTGCACAGTGCCAAGTGATTGTTGGGAGCATATGTGCTGACGGCGGCCAGAGTGTGTGTTGAAATGAAGATTAATGAATGAGAGACCTGAATGGGTGTGTGTGCGTGCGTGTGGATGAGACTGAAGGGTCAGCAGACGTGTGTCACAGAGTGCACAAACTTGAGCTTGTGTATACCTACAGTGTGTGTGTATGTGCTAGATTGTAGGTGTTTTTGTGTGTGTGTGTGTGTCAGATTATACTGTATCTTTTAAGTTTTCAACACCTCTTGTCCCACAGCTGTGAGGTGCAGAGTGACATGAGAGAAACTCACAAAGCTTCACTATAACCGCACAATTCAACAAGTCCAAAGCGTCTACTTTTCTTCAGGGTGCGGTTTTTCTGTGTTTGTCTGTTTTGTCTGTGAAAAGGAAAGAAGAAAAAGGAGGAGATGATTATTTTCATATGTGCATTTGGAACAATTTCGACATCAAGCTCATTGACTGACAAGCGACAAGTCCTGCCTGCTCCACATCTATCTATGAGCAAAGAGAAAAAATATGTTGTCCGGTTCTCAGTTAAAAATGATAGCTGTAGCTACAACTGTGATTTACACCTTGCAAAGAATGAATCTGTCCCTGCATCCAAAGAGAATTGCATCTAAACTGGTTTTATACAATATCGTTGGCAGATGTCGCTCTAAACAAACAGTAAATCAGAATAATCCTGAATAACCCCCGAGGGAAGCAAAACTGCTCTGCAAAGCCAAAGCCCATAAACTGTAAGTGGGTAGTAAAACTTTATCTCTCCCACAAATGTGCTGTTGGTACGGAAGAGTTTGTAGTTTGTATCATTTTATAAGGAATCATAACAAATAAAAAAGCATGACGTTTTTTGGATCTGATACCAAAAGACTAACCCTAACCCCCAGAATTTTCATGACCTCTGACCCTTGAACAACAAGTATTGCTGCTGTTTGCCTTTCTTATAGAGATTTAGACTACAGCCACTTTAATTTACTGTAGCTACTGTATTTGGCTGCACATTCACCACAATCAGTGATTCATTAGGCATTTACATGCATGCACCAAAACTAACAATCAATATCCAAAGTTCTCATGAATTCCTATTTAAGTATCGTAGCAGGGAACTACAAAAAGACCTCTGAGTGGCTTAACTTCATTTTTTAAGGATTTTCACTGTTGCCTCACACTTTAATGTGGAGAGAAACACTGAAACGTTTTTGGTTAGGAAAGGCAATTCATCTCTGTGAATGAGACACTGATGATAACATTTTGCAAAGCTAAATATCAAGCTATAAATGTTTATATTTTTAGTGAAGTTCCAGACACTGTTTGACATTAGAGCAGACATATAATAACACTGCAGCCACGATAGGAGGGACATCTTACTTTTATTTTGTTTAATGATAAATACGGCATTTCCCTGTTTTCTTATCTAAAGTAAAAATTTCAGCCAAAAGCCAACACCTTCTGCTGCATTTATACTTGACGTAAGCTACCTAGGTGATGGTTTTGATTTCTGGTTAAGTGTTAGGTTTGCTGAATAGACTATTCAGTCACTGTATTTATGTTTCTTGATTCACTGTGATAGAGAGTGGTGATGGCAGATAAGATGTGTTTGTTTGATGTTTGATACTGAAAAGAAGCACATTACTTAGTCACTCTTCAACTTTTTCACGTCGTCTTTGCTCTCATCAATCTCTGGCATTGAAAACTTGTTGGAGAAAATACAAACAACCATAGCTGATGAGTTGGTTTTTACGCCAGCTTAAGTTTTTCCATAGCATGACGTGTGGTTACATTTTGCAAAATGCTCTGACATTGCCTTATCAAATTGCACAAACACATTCAACACGCACAAGTGATTTAAGAGAATTTGTGGCATTCACCAATTTTATAGTGCTTGTCCTTTTCTCTTAGGTACTAGTGAAATTCTCCATTGGTCCAGATAGGGGTAAAATTCACTTGTTTGACTTCATTGAATTGAACAAATAAACACTTAGGCTAAAGGAGTTTTGCTATTGCTACATAACCTATGTTAGCATAAACAGCTGTTTAACAAATGTTGCGAGTTCAGCATCAAACTTCATTCTTTTACTCTCCAAGAGCTGTCTCCAGCAGTGGAGAGCAACCCTTTTGTTTTGCTTCTATGTCTATCACTTCTTTTCTTCTACTGAGGTTAGCATGCTAACCAGCTAGCCCCGGCCTGCTTGGCCCATTTCATCACTTTCCATTAGCGAGTCACTGTAGCATCTAATCTGCCCTGAAGAAGTAGCGCTGCAAGGGGGCATCTTATAACCTCTTGTCTTGTAAACACAAACATGGCTGACTACTACTAACATTTTCTAATAGTTGTGGGTTTTCTAGTAGTACTGTAGTGTACTGTTCTGTAGTCTGTAGATGAATCGTTCCCACAAACAAAGCAGAACAGGCAGTCTTCTATGGCAATTTTAGAGGTATTGATTATGATCAAATCTCACAAATGCACAGCTCCTCATGAACAGGCGGTATTCACCAATCTGAAACGAGCGAGTTTGTGTAGTTATGGGAGTTTGGTGAGAAATATGGGTGTGTAAAATCAGTTCTACTTTTAAACTGAACTATAATTCAAGTTTTATAAATAAAACTCTGTTAATTCCAACCAAGATAAGATAAACAAATGCAGTACGCAGGTCCACAAAAACGTCTTTACTTTGAAAAGCAATTTAGATGGGGAAGGACGTGCGCTGGAATAAACTTTGCAGGCGTGTAAAATACAAAATTTCTATTCATACTGGAGTTGTCCTTTAATTGTATTCATGAGTAAATTTTTGGTGGATATAAAATTTAAATGGTTGTACGTGTTGACAGTTACAAGCCAGAAATGAAATACTGCTTGGTGTCTTTATGTGATGTGACTGTTGTGTGCTGGATCCGCACTTAATATGCACAACAACTGATTAATATCGCAGCCTCTACAAGACAGTTTGTCTCAAATGACAAAAGACAGCAAACCGAGACAACAGCTAAAACAAATGGGAAACACCAGAGACATAAATAGCAAGACATCAGCACTCACAGCAAGACACTGTCAAAGCCTTTTGAGGGTTGGAGCCATGCAACATAATTATGAAGTACAGATGTATTAGTCAAATTTCTGCACCCCCCCACCCCCCTCCTTATGTGTTTGAGCCTCTGAGAGCTCTGTGTTTGCGTTCTCGTCAGCCGCTGCATTGATAGATGTGACGGGTCGAAGCAGGGAGAGAGGGAATCTACCCTTTTCAGCGTCAGATGGCTCTATTGAGAGGAAGCAAGGGAATGCCAGTCCCCCCCCCCCCCCCCCCCCCCCCCCCCCCCATCCCCTTATCCTATCCTGCCTTTCTGCCCGTCCAGTCAAGCGGAAGAAATCGGAAGTCCACTCAGAGACAGAGCGCCAAGACTTGTTTAGATGCTGCTTCTCTTTTACTTCGGAAGCTGTCAACACTTCAGGCCTCAGGTTGAGCCATAAAATGTGTAAAAATAAATCACTTTCAGAGCAATCAGTCAGATTTGGTGGTCATTGTTTTCGTCACTCACTGGTTAAACATGATGTCTTCTTTCTGCTGTTGCCTGAGAGATAATCTATCTGTTGCTTTCATTTTTCTTTCTTCCCTTTTTTTTGTCACTTCATCTGTCTGCCCTTCTCTCTGTCTGTCAATCCATCCATTTATCCAGCAGCATCTGTCATTTCTCTTGTCACTTAAATCATCCGTCCATTAGACCATCCATCTTTCAAGCTACACACTCATCTACTTTTCTGCCCATCCCTTATTCATTCATCTGTCCATCCTGTCTTTTGTGCGCGGGTGACGTTGTTGTGGCTTCCGCTGTGATCGCGACTTCTTTTCTGCTGAGTTATGGTGACAGATTTGAAGTACAAAATAGCTCAGCTGACATGACGCTCACATGCTTTGGTATAAGGCAAAACACACCTGTGTGCCTCACAACACACAAACACACAAAGAAAGCTGTTTCCCATGACCTCGTGTTCCTGTTTTCACCTCACATGCCAGGTGAGCTACTGCAGTCACACACACACACACTCACACATGTTCATGCACAGTGGAGGGTTTCAGTAAACAGGTTGTGTAATTTCTGTGAAATGAATTGCGACCGGGTGAGCTAAATGAATAGGGAGGATGAATTTGCTGTGTGTGTGAGAGAGAGTTTGTGTGTGTGTGAGTGTATACATTGGTTTGACAGGGGGTTAGAAGCCAGGGGCCTCTCTCGGTCTCTCTCTTTAGCGAGTGAGTGAAATACAGGCCTGGTTGTCAAGGTGACAGGCCCTGACAGCACACTCCAACTAAACCGTCAACAGCCTTTCATCAAGGAAACAGAACGCACACACAAAACACACACACACACACAAAGATCTCTCTCTCTTACTTGCCCACACCCTCCAAGCTGCATTACTTTTCCCTGAATCCTCATTCTGTGATTTCCTCCAAATTTCTTTTTCCAAACTCTCTTCTTGACTCTGACTCTTGTGTCTGCATATCTTCCGACTGCATGTTCATACTTGGAAGCAGCTCTTTGCGCTCACAGATCAACTTCCCTCATGCTCAGGCAAGTTTACAATACTCACAGCACTTGAGGTGTATTTGGATTTGCTTGTGCAATGCAACCAGGTGGTGCAATTTTACCATTTGTCCAGGTGACAGCCAGGTGTTGACAGATAAGAAAGCTAAGCGAGGAATCATACAGGAAAAGGGAGGCAAAGAAATGAGAGGTGGGATGGAGGGAAGAGGAATATGGGGAGTGACAGAGGATAATTTATTATTCTAATGTTTTGTCTTTCATTCATTTCTATGTACCCATCCCAGTATTCTCAGCTCATCGGTCCGTCACTCTCCTTGCATCGGCACTCTTTATCTTTGGTTTCTTTATCTCTGGTTTCTTTGGTTTGTCTGTTTGTTTGACAGCTGGGAGGTCTGCCACCATGCCGTACCTGTCAAAGCCTGTCACAAACCTCTTTCTGCCCTGCGGGTACACACACACACACACACACACACACACAGAACATAGACAGAGAGAAAGAAGTGGAAGCAGAAGAGGTTTTTCTGAATTAATGTACATGTACGATAGATAAACAGATGGCATGTCATCGAATCAAGTCAGGATTCCTCTAATGAACGGGATTTGGAAAACCAGGATATTGTTCAGACAGTTGTTGATTTTCAAACTGTCCACAGAGCAGCCTTGTTGTTGTCAGTACACATTAACTATATTCTGCACATTCAGTCCGGTTAGCCTGCAGATTGAATACATACCCACAACTGTCACCACAATGCCCAACCAGATCCAGCTCTCCTGACCTGCTTTCCCGTTGAATATACCACTGAGGAGTGTATTGAAGAGTTGTAGGTGGATTTGTTCTGGTTAAGCTGGAAAAAAAAGTTCTCTCTGAATGTTTCCATGTTGACTCATCTTCATTTTCACAGGCAGAAATGAAATTCCAGAAGTGCTGGCAATAAGGACACACAGTGACTGATAGAAATCACCTGCACATGATTTGAAACACAGAGGTGTGTTCACAGAAAAGGACATGATTTATCAGCTGATTACTGCTATCTTCATTGGAGAAAGTAAGTGATATGAACAAACTGAATTACTTTACTGACTTACTAAATTCTCTCATAAGCTATGTTTGCCGGCTGACATCAACCCTTTGACCCTTCTGCAGCTCAGTTTTGGCTCCTTCTTATGTCAGTGCTGGGAGTTATTAAGAGTTTGTTGTTTTTCCACGGTTGCCGTCATCAAATGTCCCTGGTGCTGTTTTTCATTGAAAAATGAAGTGAAATGAAATGAAACACTCAACCTTTCTTTCCTCCGTGCTCTTCATCATCACAACATCCTTCACAGAGAGTGATGTGATACAGATGCTTAACTCACATATGATGCAGATACATAATAATACCGGAAAATCCAATCCACCCAGGACGCAAAATAGTGTCGAGCAACAGAGCTCTGGCTTGCAGAATAAAATATTACATAATAAACACTATAGGCACAAAGAACAGCTGATGTGTTATGACTCCAGCTCTGGTTTCATTTTAAAAATAACAAATTATTTGCAAGCACATGTATTTGTTAGTTCACAGTTCCTGTGTAAACATATATCCTCTAACTACTTAAAGGCCTCGGGAATGAGCTGTGTCGGCCTTTGGGAATCGGCTGACTGAGAGTCTCCTTCATTAATCTGAGGCCTCTGACAACTGTCTGTCAGCAGCTGAGGGGGATTTCCACACTTTCAGTCGCTGGTTGTCTTTGAGAGCAAAACCATTCATTAGCGCAAAGCATGAATTTTGACGCGGGATCTCTCATCAGCGGCTGCTTTGACGTCCAGCGTCTCCAAGTCAACTCAGGTGTTTCCCTGTCTGCGTTTCAGCACATAAATTAGAGGCAGACAGATTCACAGTTGCACACCGACACTCACACCTCCAGGTAGACAGTCTCCACTAAGTCACTTTAAACTCAGGCCTAAAAACATTGTTAAGCTGTCTGCACAAACACCGAATGTAAACAGTCAGTGACAGAAAATAGTAGCTACACAAAAGCTTTGAGCTGACAGTGCTGACACTTCAATAAAAGAATCTGCAGAGGGCAAACACCCACATGTCGTCATTATATCTGATACAGCTTAACAACAACTGCCTGATGACAGTCAAGTGCAAGTCTGCGAGTTTATCTTTGCCTACATTGTGTTTTAGACTTTGTTCTGTTGCAAACTGCTAGCTAGCTACTAACCTTGTCTGACTGCCCACAATAAACAGAGCCAACAGCCGACTGCTATGGGCCGAGAAATGACGCTTATCAGTGAAAATGACCCAAAACAGTGACGCACACTGCAGAGTTTGTTGATAATTCTCTGTGGGTTTGTCACTACGATCGACCGTAAAACAAAGTCAATTCATCCATTGAATAAAAATTTTCGATTGGAGCATTGGAGCTAAAATGTGATTAACATAAACCAGATTAGTCAACAACAGTAATCAGCTGGAAGATGATGTGAGAAACATGGAAAATTCTTACTCCTCAACATGGGAGCAACCCACACAGCAACGTCTGACACATTTCCGTTCAGCACATATAGTATATGTGACATACAGTGACTTTTTATGTGGCCGAAGTCTCCTGTGATGTTAAACTACAGGGTTAAAGCTCAGCATCCGTGTCCATGAGCATAAAACTTTAACAGTGGTTTTCTTTCAAAGAGGCTTAATGAGTAATAAATAGGCTATACGATATTTGAGTAGGAAATCCCCTGGTTTGATGCTAAAGGATGAACATTATGTGTGTTCATAGATTTCGTGATTGCATGTTTGTAATGTCTATGTGTGGCATGTAGACCTACTGTGGTTGCGTGCTTATATGTGTGTCGGTGGGGGTTTGCTTTCTATGTGGGTGCAACGCTCCAGTTGCACATCCCAAACTTAGATGTTTGAGATGGTCTCTCTCTCTGGCTGCCTTACTGTCATGCAATGCCGTGACATGACTTTATTGCATGAACATTCACCGTGCTAAAGTATAGACTCGTCATCGCTGGGGACAGATCTGTATCTCAATAAATCTACCAGACTTCTGAGCTCAAACGATGCCACATAACGTTTGCCGAGTGATATTCACAAGATGAAACAAAAGTCAAAGGCTTCTGCTCTCAGCGTCTCTTTATTTTTCTCTCACGCCTCTCTTTGTTTCATTTTCCACTGCATGATGAATGGCTGCTGTTATGTTGCAATGAGTGTGCATCTGTGCTTGTGTGCTGTATGTATAGATGTTTGCATGCATCCACAATCCCTTTCTGCCATCCTGTCCCCCGCTGTCGTAACAGTTGCTCTCCTTTCATCATTGTTGCTCAGGAAAAACACCACACATGTTCTCATTCCCAATGTAGGAGGCTTATGCAGCCTCACTCGCCTGATTCACTCACCACCTCCATTGTGTTGGCTCATGTTGTGAAGTTGCTCATCTTCATTCATATTTTCATACCCTGATTCAAATATTATGCTGATTTCAGACCACCATCCTGCTGTACTCTGGGGGTCCTGGAGATACAGGGGGTCCCCTCTCCCACTCACTTTCACCAAGAGCAGATGGCCCTGGCTGGGCTGGACTGTGTGAATGAGCCCCTATTGTCTCTGGATGTAGCGTAGCCGCCTAGCCCAGATGGCTTTTGTACCTTTTGTGTCTATGCTGACTTTCTGTAGAGTGAGACAGTGTGTGCTGTCTGCTTCAGTGGGTGGTAGCCCTCTGCTCGCTTTCATTAGCCTCTCTCTCTCTCTGTCTCTTTGTCTCTTGCTCTCTTGTTTCTCAATGTGTCAATTCAGTTCACTTCAAACAAGCTTTATTGGCATAACAGTGAAGTGCAGTGAACACTGTCAAAACAAAATAAACATCTAAGTATATGTTTTAAGTAGAGCCCCACTTTTTGAGAATACAAAATTAATTTAAGGTGGTCTCACACTTCTGGACCCCACTGTATATGGCCAAAAGTATGTGGACACACAAACTACGAAGTGGACATCCAAGAATTACGCCCACACATAACAACTGAGCATCTAATTCCAAAAACATAAGTATTAATATGCGGCTACAACAGCCTTCACTGGAAACTGGCTGCAGAGAATTCCTCCCATTCATTCACAAGAGCATTCATTCATTCAGGGCAATAAGACCTGGCTTGAGTTCCAGTTCATCCCAAAGGCGGTGTATTTGATATTATTTTATTATTCTTATTTCATCTTTATTATTGATTATTTCAGAGCTCTTTGCAGACCACTGTAGTTCTTTCAGACCAAACTCAGGAAATTTTTTTTTTTTTTTTTTTAACTCACTCTGCACATAGGAACATGGTCATGTTAAAACAGAAAAGGATCTTTCCCCCAAAATGCTGGAAAGACTATATTCAAATCTAACAGCTCAAGACCACAAATACTCAAAAGTATGTGGACAAAGGTCTCCACATACTTTTGGCCATATGGTCTATAGTCACAAAGCTTAATTTAATTCATAAATTTAAGTCGTATTTTTCTTATCAGAATTTTTCATGCATTTTCTGTCGTATTTAAGTTGTTGTTTAAAGTTGTTATTGATGCCATTTTAATTTCCATTGAGGATTATTGTTTAAAATGTACTTGCTGTTTTTTTAATTATCAAATGTTCCACTCAGTATATACCTTGGTCATGGCTCTTTATCAAGCAAATTTAAGGAAATATTATAAAAAATGTTTATGTTGTTTTGGTAAAAAAAAAAAAAAAAAACTATAATCAGAAAAAAAACAAAAGGTCCCATCGATGAAGACCATGTGATACGGTTGAAAGATCAAGAAAAGCAAGTAAGTGTACCTTGAGTTAGGGTTGGCTTGCCAAACTGTCATATAGTTCACAGTAATGCAGACATCCATTTAGAGCAGAGAAACAAAGCCATGTAGTTAACATTAAAGTAAAAAGGTTATTACTGATTATGATGCAAATGTGTTGTCTCATCTGCATGATTCAATTTGCTATCACGTTGTTCCATCTGGATGTGAAGCTTACAGTATGTGTCCAGACCTACATGATGTCTGGTCCCATTATTTAACGAGCATTAGCAAATGCTAAAAGCATCCTTTTTCTGTGTGTCCGTGTGTGTGTGTGTGTGTGTGTGTGTGTGTGTGTGTGTGTGTTAATGCACAACCATCTAAACATGTTGTTTTGTTTAAGCTGTTTTGTGGAATTCGGTATTGTGGTGGTGGTGATTGCTGAGTTTGCCATTTAAAGCTGCATTTTTTCTCCATACCCTGGCTTAATGTTGAAAACCACACACACACACACACACACACACACACACACACACACACACACACACACACACACACACACACACACACACACACACACACACACACACCTCTATAGCTCTCAGAACACACATCCGAACAGTGGGGTCTACGTCAGTGTGTCAGTCTCTGTTTGTGTGTGTGTGTGTGTGTGTGTGTGTGTGTGTGTGTGTGTGCTCCCTCTTGTGTCATCTTCACCAAACCGCAAAAAGTCACATCAGTGCACCACCTCGCTGCTCCTCTCATTTCCATGTAACAGCTAATTTACTGCTCAAATCAAGTCAAGATGTCTAATGAATCTACACGTCTATGTTAACAGAGACCGAGGATGACCCCTCATTCTGTACTACACACACACACACACACACACACACACACACACCACCGTTAGCGTGCACTGATCTCGTCCTACGGAGGCATCATGTGTTCGCTCATGCCCTCAGGGCCCACCACAGCACAATGCCAGGCTTCAGAGCGTTGGCTAAATCCCTGCCAGAGACAGTCAGGCTGTCTGCCTGGCAGGCTGGCACTTCTGCTGACTGTATTTACAGCAACCTCTGGAAGAAAAGGATCTGATTACCACAAGGAATATATACAACTCATCAATCAGCAGGCAGACGGGGAGGGAGAGAGACAACAAGAGGCAAACAGACAGACAGAGAGAGATAGAGAGAGAGAAAGGAGTATGGTTCAACGTTGTGTTTTTATTGGTGCTTTTAAACCTTCACACACACACATGCAGCCGTGCATACAAGCACAGACACACA